TTTCCCCTGTCTTTGGGTGTCAGAAACACGTTATCCTCCCAGCTGTACTCGGGTGCCAGGAAACACAAACTCTTTTTGCCGTGCTCGCTGCCCTCTGGGCTCAGAAACACACTGTCCTTCGCTTTCGCCGCTGTCTTTGGGTGTCAGAAACACGTTCTCCTCCCAGATGTACTCGACTCCCGGGAAACATAAGCTCTTTTTTTACCCTGCTCGCTGACCTCTGGGCTCAGAAACACACTGTCCCTGGCCTTTCCCCTGTCTTTGGGTGTCAGAAACACGTTCTCCTCCCAGCTGTACTCGGGTGCCAGGAAACACAAACTCTTTTTGCCGTGCTCGCTGCCCTCTGGTCTCAGAAACACACTGTCCTTTGCTATCGCCGCTGTCTTTGGGTGTCAGAAACACGTTCTCCTCCCAGATGTACTCGTGTCCCGGGAAACATAAGCTCTTTTTTACCCTGCTCGCTGACCTCTGGGCTCAGAAACACACTGTCCCTGGCCTTTCCCCCTGTCTTTGGGTGTCAGAAACACGTTCTCCTCCCAGCTGTACTCGGCTCCCGGAAACACAAACTCTTTTTGCCGTGCTCGCTGCCCTCTGGTCTCAGAAACACACTGTCCTTTGCTATCGCCGCTGTCTTTGGGTGTCAGAAACACGTTCTCCTCCCAGATGTACTCGTCTCCCGGGAAACATAAGCTCTTTTTTTACCCTGCTCGCTGACCTCTGGGCTCAGAAACACACTGTCCCTGGCCTTTCCCCCTGTCTTTGGGTGTCAGAAACACGTTCTCCTCCCAGATGTACTCGTCTCCCGGGAAACATAAGCTCTTTTTTTACCCTGCTCGCTGACCTCTGGGCTCAGAAACACACTGTCCTTCGCTATCGCCGCTGTCTTTGGGTGTCAGAAACACGTTCTCCTCCCAGATGTACTCGTCTCCCGGGAAACACAAGCTCTTTTTTTTACCCTGCTCGCTGACCTCTGGGCTCAGAAACACACTGTCCCTGGCCTTTCCCCTGTCTTTGGGTGTCAGAATCACGTTCCCCTCCCAGCTGTACTCGGCTCCCGGGAAACACAAACTATTTTTTGCCGTGCTCGCTGCCCTCTGGTCTCAGAAACACACTGTCCTTCGCTATCGCCGCTGTCTTTGGGTGTCAGAAACACGTTCTCCTCCCAGATGTACTCGTGTCCCGGGAAACATAAGCTCTTTTTTTTTACCCTGCTCGCTGACCTCTGGGCTCAGAAACACACTGTCCCTGGCCTTTCCCTCTGTCTTTGGGTGTCAGAAACACGTTCTCCTCCCAGATGTACTCGTCTCCCGGGAAACATAAGCTCTTTTTTTACCCTGCTCGCTGACCTCTGGGCTCAGAAACACACTGTCCCTGGCCTTTCCCCTGTCTTTGGGTGTCAGAAACACGTTCTCCTCCCAGCTGTACTAGGGTGCCGGGAAACACAAGCTCTTTTTGCCCTGCTCGCTGACCTCTGGGCTCAGAAACACACTGTCCCTGGCCTTTCCCCCTGTCTTTGGGTGTCAGAAACACGTTCTCCTACCAGCTGTACTCGGCTGCAAAACTCCCAGGGCTGTGTGAAATGGGATCGCGGGTCACTCGGACCCGCTCAATTCGGGGTGTGTACACGACGCGAGGACAACGGCTGGGGTTAGATGCCGGGGTTGTGAGTTCGAGCCTCGCCCGGTGCGGTGGTTTTTTACACCCTCGCCGATAAATACTAATAAAGGTAGTAAGAATAGATGGACAACGGTGAAACACGCGCACGTCGTTGTATTTCGGCCTCCTCTTTTTTGCAAAACTCTGGAGGGCTGTGTGAAATGGGATCGCGGGTCACTCGGACCCGCTCAATCCGGGGTGTGTACGCGACGCGAGGACAACGGCTGGGGTTAGATGCCGGGGTTGTGAGTTCGAGCCTCGCCCGGTGCGGTGGTTTTTTACACCCTCGCCGATAAATACTAATAAAGGTAGTAAGAATAGATGGACAACGGTGAAACACGCGCACGTTGTTGTATTTCGGCCTCCTCTTTTTTGCAAAACTCTTGAGGGCTGTGTGAAATGGGATCGAGGGTCACTCGGACCCGCTCAATCCGGGGTGTGTACGCGACGCGAGGACAACGGCTGGGGTTAGATGCCGGGGTTGTGAGTTCGAGCCTTGCCCGGTGCGGTGGTTTTTTACACCCTCGGCGATAAATACTAAAAAAGATAGTAATAACAGATGGACAACGGTGAAACATGCCCACGTTGTTGTATTTCGGCCTCCTCTTTTTTGCAAAACTCCCAGGGCTGTGTGAAATGGGATCGCGGGTCACTCGGACCCGCTCAATTCGGGGTGTGTACGCGACGCGAGGACATTGGCTGGGGTTAGATCCCGGGGTTGTGAGTTCGAGTCTCGCCCGGGCCGGTGGTTTTTTACACCCTCGGCGATAAACACTAAAAAAGATAGTAATAACAGATGGACAACGGTGAAACACGCGCAGGTTGTTGTATTTCGGCCTCCTCTTTTTTGCAAAACTCTTGAGGGCTGTGTGAAATGGGATCGCGGGTCACTCGGACCCGCTCAATTCGGGGTGTGTACGCGACGCGAGGACAACGGCGGGGTTAGATGCCGAGGTGGCGAGTTCGAGCCTCGCCCGGGCACGTGTCTTTTTTTACCCCTCCCAGATAATTACTAATAACGATAAAAATAATAAATCGATTACAGGGAGACACGTGCACGTTGTTGTATTTCGGCCTCCTCCTTTTTGCAACACTCTGAGGGCTGTGAAAAGAGATCGAGGGTCATTCTGACCAGCTCGACTCGGGGTGTGTACGCGATGCGAGGACAGCACAAGGGTTAAAATTGCGGACAAGATAAAAATTCGCTGAGAGCAGGGTTCGAACCTGCGCAGGGAAACCCCATTGGATTTCAAATCCAACGCCTTAATCACTCGGCCATCACAGCTTGTTTAAAGGAGTGTTTTCTTTGTAAAAAAAAAATCTTGTTTTACAAACAGAATAGGCATCATCCAGATTGTCTGTATGACCATGCAAATTAATCCAGATGTTTAAAATTGCAGTCAAGATAAAAATTCGCTGAGAGCAGGGTTCGAACCTGCGCAAATAGGGAAACCCCATTGGATTTCAAATCCAACGCCTTAACCACTCGGCCATCACAGCTTGTTTAACGGAGTATTTTCTTCAAAAAAAAAAATCTTGTTTAACAATCAGACTAGGCATCATCCAGATTGTGGACAAAATATTAATTCGCTGAGAGCAGGGTTCGAACCTGCGCATTGGGGAAACCCCATTGGATTTCAAATCCAACGCCTTAACCACTCGGCCATCACAGCTTGTTTAAAGGAGTATTTTCTTCATAAAAAAATATCTTGTTTTACAAAAAGACTTGGCATCATCCAGATTGCGGACAAGATAAAAATTCGCTGAGAGCAGGGTTCGAACCTGCGTGGGGAAACCCCATTGGATTTCAAAGCCTTAACCACTCGGCCATCACAGCTTGTTTAAAGAAAGTATTTTCTTCGTTAAAAAAAAATCTTGTTTTACAAACAGAATAGGCATCATCCAGATTGTCTGTATGACCATGCAAATTAATCCAGATGTTTAAAATTGCGGACAAAATATTAATTCGCTGAGAGCAGGGTTCGAACCTGCGCGGGAAACCCCATTGGATTTCAAATCCACCGCCTTAACCACTCGGCCATCACAGCTTGTTTAAAGGAGTGTTTTCTTTGTTAAAAAAATCTTGTTTTAAAAACAGACTAGGCATCATCCAGACTGCGGACAAGATAAAAATTCGCTGAGAGCAGGGTTCGAACCTGCGCGGGGAAACCCCATTGGATTTCAAATCCAACGCCTTAACCACTCGGCCATCACAGCTTGTTTAAAGGAGTGTTTTCTTTGTAAAAAAAAATCTTGTTTTACAAACAGACTAGGCATCATCCCGACTGCGGACAAGATAAAATTCGCTGAGAGCAGGGTTCGAACCTGCGCAGGGAAACCCCATTGGATTTCAAAACCAACGCCTTAACCACTCGGCCATCACAGCTTGTTTAACGGAGTATTTTCTTCCTAAAAAAAAATCTTGTTTAACAAACAGACTAGGCATCATCCAGATTGCGGACAAGATAAAAATTCGCTGAGAGCAGGGTTCGAACCTGCGCAGTGAAACCCCATTGGATTTCAAATCCAACGCCTTAACCACTCGGCCATCACAGCTTGTTTAAAGGAGTGATTTCTTTGTAAAAAAAAAATCTTGTTTTACAAACAGACTAGGCATCATCCAGATTGTGGACAAAATATTAATTCGCTGAGAGCAGGGTTCGAACCTGCGCGGGGAAACCCCATTGGATTTCAAAGCCTTAACCACTCGGCCATCACAGCTTGTTTAAAGGAGTAGTTTCTTCATGAAAAAAAATGTTGTTTTACAAAAAGACTTGGTATCATCCAGATTGCGGACAAGATAAAAATTCGCTGAGAGCAGGGTTCTAACCTACGCGGAGAAACCCCATTGGATTTCAAAGCCTTAACCACTCGGCCATCACAGCTTGTTTAAAGGAGTATTTTCTTCGTAAAAAAAAATCTTGTTTTACAAACAGACTAGGCATCGTCCAGATAGTCTGTATTGACCATGCAAAATCCAGATGTTAAAATTGCAGTCAAGATAAAAATTCGCTGAGAGCAGGGTTCGAACCTGCGCGGGGAAACCCCATTGGATTTCAAATCCAACGCCTTAACCACTCGGCCATCACAGCTCGTTTAACGGAGTATTTTCTTCAAAAAAAAAAATCTTGTTTAACAAACAGACTAGGCATCATCCAGATTGCGGACAAGATAAAAATTCGCTGAGAGCAGGGTTCGAACCTGCGCGGGGAAACCCCATTGGATTTCAAAGCCTTAACCACTCGGCCATCACAGCTTGTTTAAAGGAGTAGTTTCTTCATGAAAAAAAATGTTGTTTTACAAAAAGACTTGGTATCATCCAGATTGCGGACAAGATAAAAATTCGCTGAGAGCAGGGTTCTAACCTACGCGGAGAAACCCCATTGGATTTCAAAGCCTTAACCACTCGGCCATCACAGCTTGTTTAAAGGAGTATTTTCTTCGTAAAAAAAAATCTTGTTTTACAAACAGACTAGGCATCGTCCAGATAGTCTGTATTGACCATGCAAAATCCAGATGTTAAAATTGCAGTCAAGATAAAAATTCGCTGAGAGCAGGGTTCGAACCTGCGCGGGGAAACCCCATTGGATTTCAAATCCAACGCCTTAACCACTCGGCCATCACAGCTTGTTTAACGGAGTATTTTCTTCATCAAAAAAAATCTTGTTTAACAAACAGACTAGGCATCATCCAGATTGCGGACAAGATAAAAATTCGCTGAGAGCAGGGTTCGAACCTGCGTGGGGAAACCCCATTGGATTTCAAAGCCTTAACCACTCGGCCATCACAGCTTGTTTAAAGAAAGTATTTTCTTCGTTAAATAAAAAAATTTTGTTTTACAAACAGAATAGGCATCATCCAGATTGTCTGTATGACCATGCAAATTAATCCAGATGTTTAAAATTGCGGACAAAATATTAATTCGCTGAGAGCAGGGTTCGAACCTGCGCGGGGAAACTCCATTGTATTTCAAATCCAACGCCTTAACCACTCGGCCATCACAGCTTGTTTAAAGAGTGTTTTCTTTTAAAAAAAAATCTTGTTTTACAAACAGACTAGGCATCATCCAGAGCAAATTAATCCAGATGTTTAAAGGGACAAGATAAAAATTCGCTGAGAGCAGTGTTCGAACCGCGGGAAACCCCATTGGATTTCAAATCCAACGCCTTAACCACTCGGCCATCACAGCTTGTTTAAAGGAGTGTTTTCTTTGTAAAAAACAAATCTTGTTTTACAAACAGACTAGGCATCATCCAGATTGTGGACAAGATAAAAATTCGCTGAGAGCAGTGTTCGAACCTGCGCAGGGAAACCCCATTGGATTTCAAATCCAACGCCTTAACCACTCGGCCATCACAGCTTGTTTAAAGGAGTGATTTTCTTTTAAAAAAAAATCTTGTTTTACAAACAGACTAGGCATCATCCAGATTGTGGACAAAATAAAAAGGGTTCGAACCTGCTGAGGGACCCCATTGCAAATCGAACCTCGGCCATCACAGCAGATGGGTTTTACAAACAGAACCCCATTTGGACAAGATAAAAATTCGCTGAGAGCAGTGTTCGAACCTGCCAGGGAAACCCCGATTTCAAATCCAACTTAACCACTCGGCCATCACAGCGTGTTTAAAGGAGTGATTTCTTTTAAAAAAAAAATCTTGTTTTACAAACAGACTAGGCATCATCCAGATTGTGGACAAAATATTAATTCGCTGAGAGCAGGGTTCGAACCTGCGCGGGGAAACCCCATTGGATTTCAAATCCAACGCCTTAACCACTCGGCCATCACAGCTTGTTTAAAGGAGTATTTTCTTCATAAAAAAAAATCTTGTTTTACAAAAAGACTTGGCATCATCCAGATTGCGGACAAGATAAAAATTCGCTGAGAGCAGGGTTCGAACCTGCGTGGGGAAACCCCATTGGATTTCAAAGCCTTAACCACTCGGCCATCACAGCTTGTTTAAAGGAGTATTTTCTTCGTAAAAAAAAAAATCTTGTTTTACAAACAGAATAGGCATCATCCAGATTGTCTGTATTGACCATGCAAATTAATCCAGATGTTTAAATTGCGGACAAGATAAAAATTCGCTAAGAGCAGGGTTCGAACCTGCGCGGGGAAACCCCAAAGAGACAGGGAATCGTCCAAATAGTCTGTATTGACCATGCAAATTAATCCAGATGTTTAAATTGCGGACAAGATAAATATTCGGTGAGAGCAGGGTTCTAACCTGCGTGGAGAAACCCCGTTGGATTTCAAAGCCTTAACCACTCGGCCATCACAGCTTGTTTAAAGGAGTATTTTCTTCGTAAAAAAAAAATCTTGTTTTACAAACAGACTAGGCATCGTCCAGATAGTCTGTATTGACCATGCAAAATCCAGATGTTAAAATTGCAGTCAAGATAAAAATTCGCTGAGAGCAGGGTTCGAACCTGCGCGGGGAAACCCCATTGGATTTCAAATCCAACACCTTAACCACTCGGCCATCACAGCTTGTTTAACGGAGTATTTTCTTCATAAAAAAAAATCTTGTTTAACAAACAGACTAGGCATCATCCAGACTGCGGACAAGATATAAATTCGCTGAGAGCAGGGTTCGAACCTGCGCGGGGAAACCCCATTGGATTTCAAATCCAACGCCTTAACCACTCGGCCATCACAGCTTGTTTAAAGGAGTGTTTTCTTTGTAAAAAAAAAATCTTGTTTTACAAACAGACTAGGCATCATTCAGACAAGATAAAATTCGCTGAGAGCAGGGTTCGAACCTGCGCGGGGAAACCCCATTGTATTTCAAATCCAACGCCTTAACCACTCGGCCATCACAGCTTGTTTAAAGGAGTGTTTTCTTTGTAAAAAACAAATCTTGTTTTACAAACAGACTAGGCATCATCCAGATTGTGGACAAAATATTAATTCGCTGAGAGCAGGGTTCGAACCTGCGCGGGGAAACCCCATTGTATTTCAAAGCCTTAACCACTCGGCCATCACAGCTTGTTTAAAGGAGTGTTTTCTTTGTAAAAAACAAATCTTGTTTTACAAACAGACTAGGCATCATCCAGATTGTGGACAAGATAAAAATTCGCTGAGAGCAGTGTTCGAACCTGCGCAGGGAAACCCCATTGGATTTCAAATCCAACGCCTTAACCACTCGGCCATCACAGCTTGTTTAAAGGAGTGATTTCTTTGTAAAAAAAAATCTTGTTTTACAAACAGACTAGGCATCATCCAGATTGTGGACAAAATATTAATTCGCTGAGAGCAGGGTTCGAACCTGCGCGGGGAAACCCCATTGGATTTCAAATCCAACGCCTTAACCACTCGGCCATCACAGCTTGTTTAAAGGAGTATTTTCTTCATAAAAAAAAATCTTGTTTTACAAAAAGACTTGGCATCATCCAGATTGCGGACAAGATAAAAATTCGCTGAGAGCAGGGTTCGAACCTGCGTGGGGAAACCCCATTGGATTTCAAAGCCTTAACCACTCGGCCATCACAGCTTGTTTAAAGGAGTATTTTCTTCGTAAAAAAAAATCTTGTTTTACAAACAGAATAGGCATCATCCAGATTGTCTGTATTGACCATGCAAATTAATCCAGATGTTTAAATTGCGGACAAGATAAAAATTCGCTGAGAGCAGGGTTCGAACCTGCGCGGGGAAACCCCAAAGAGACAGGGAATCGTCCAAATAGTCTGTATTGACCATGCAAATTAATCCAGATGTTTAAATTGCGGACAAGATAAAAATTCGCTGAGAGCAGGGTTCGAACCTGCGCGGGAAACCCCAAAGAGACAGGGAATCGTCCAAATAGTCTGTATTGACCATGCAAATTAATCCAGATGTTTAAATTGCGGACAAGATAAATATTCGGTGAGAGCAGGGTTCTAACCTGCGTGGAGAAACCCCGTTGGATTTCAAAGCCTTAACCACTCGGCCATCACAGCTTGTTTAAAGGAGTATTTTCTTCGTAAAAAAAAAATCTTGTTTTACAAACAGACTAGGCATCGTCCAGATAGTCTGTATTGACCATGCAAAATCCAGATGTTAAAATTGCAGTCAAGATAAAAATTCACTGAGAGCAGGGTTCGAACCTGCGCGGGGAAACCCCATTGGATTTCAAATCCAACGCCTTAACCACTCGGCCATCACAGCTTGTTTAAAGGAGTGTTTTCTTTGTAAAAAAAAATCTTGTTTTACAAACAGACTAGGCATCATTCAGACAAGATAAAATTCGCTGAGAGCAGGGTTCGAACCTGCGCAGGGAAACCCCATTGGATTTCAAATCCAACGCCTTAACCACTCGGCCATCACAGCTTGTTTAACAAAGTATTTTCTTCAAAAAAAAAAATCTTGTTTAACAAACAGACTAGGCATCATCCAGATTGCGGACAAGATAAAAATTCGCTGAGAGCAGGGTTCGAACCTGCGTGGGGAAACCCCATTGGATTTCAAAACAAACGCCTTAACCACTCGGCCATGACAGGTTCTTTAACCCTTGTGCTGTCCTCGCATCGTGTACACACCCCGAGTCGAGCTGGTCAGAATGACCCTCGATCTCTTTTCACAGCCCTCAGAGTGTTGCAAAAAGGAGGAGGCCGAAATACAACAACGTGCACGTGTCTCCCTGTAATCGATTTATTATTTTTATCGTTATTAGTAATTATCTGGGAGGGGTAAAAAAAGAGACGTGCCCGGGCGAGGCTCGAACTCGCCACCTCGGCATCTAACCCCGCCGTTGTCCTCGCGTCGCGTACACACCCCGAATTGAGCGGGTCCGAGTGACCCGCGATCCCATTTCACACAGCCCTGGGAGTTTTGCAAAAAAGAGGAGGCCGAAATACAACGACGAGCGCGTGTTTCACCGTTGTCCATCTATTCTTACTACCTTTATTAGTATTTATCGGCGAGGGTGTAAAAAACCACCGCACCGGGCGAGGCTCGAACTCACAACCCCGGCATCTAACCCCAGCCGTTGTCCTCGCGTCGCGTACACACCCCGAATTGAGCGGGTCCGAGTGACCCGCGATCCCATTTCACACAGCCCTGGGAGTTTTGCAAAAAAGAGGAGGCCGAAATACAACAACGTGGGCATGTTTCACCGTTGTCCATCTGTTATTACTATCTTTTTAGTGTTTATCGCCGAGGGTGTAAAAACCACCGGCCCGGGCGAGACTCGAACTCACAACCCCGGGATCTAACCCCAGCCAATGTCCTCGCGTCGCGTACACACCCCGAATTGAGCGGGTCCGAGTGACCCGCGATCCCATTTCACACAGCCCTCAAGAGTTTTGCAAAAAAGAGGAGGCCGAAATACAACAACGTGCGCGTGTTTCACCGTTGTCCATCTGTTATTACTATCTTTTTTAGTGTTTATCGCCGAGGGTGTAAAAAACCACCGGCCCGGGCGAGACTCGAACTCACAACCCCGGGATCTAACCCCAGCCAATGTCCTCGCGTCGCGTACACACCCCGAATTGAGCGGGTCCGAGTGACCCGCGATCCCATTTCACACAGCCCTCAAGAGTTTTGCAAAAAAGAGGAGGCCGAAATACAACAACGTGCGCGTGTTTCACCGTTGTCCATCTATTCTTACTACCTTTATTAGTATTTATCGGCGAGGGTGTAAAAAACCACCGCACCGGGCAAGGCTCGAACTCACAACCCCGGCATCTAACCCCAGCCGTTGTCCTCGCGTCGCGTACACACCCCGGATTGAGCGGGTCCGAGTGACCCTCGATCCCATTTCACACAGCCCTCAAGAGTTTTGCAAAAAAGAGGAGGCCGAAATACAACAACGTGCGCGTGTTTCACCGTTGTCCATCTATTCTTACTACCTTTATTAGTATTTATCGGCGAGGGTGTAAAAAACCACCGCACCGGGCGAGGCTCGAACTCACAACCCCGGCATCTAACCCCAGCCGTTGTCCTCGCATCGCGTACACACCCCGGATTGAGCGGGTCCGAGTGACCCGCGATCCCATTTCACACAGCCCTCCAGAGTTTTGCAAAAAAGAGGAGGCCGAAATACAACGACGTGCGCGTGCAGCCGAGTACAGCTGGTAGGAGAACGTGTTTCTGACACCCAAAGACAGGGGGAAAGGCAGAGGACAGTGTGTTTCTGAGCCCAGAGGTCAGCGAGCAGGGCAAAAAAGAGCTTGTGTTTCCCGGCACCCTAGTACAGCTGGGAGGAGAACGTGTTTCTGACACCCAAAGACAGGGGGAAAGGCCAGGGACAGTGTGTTTCTGAGCCCAGAGGTCAGCGAGCAGGGTAAAAAGAGCTTATGTTTCCCGGGAGACGAGTACATCTGGGAGGAGAACGTGTTTCTGACACCCAAAGACAGGGGGAAAGGCCAGGGACAGTGTGTTTCTGAGCCCAGAGGTCAGCGAGCAGGGTAAAAAAGAGCTTATGTTTCCCGGGAGACGAGTACATCTGGGAGGAGAACGTGTTTCTGACACCAGAAGACAGGGGGAAAGGCAGAGGACAGTGTGTTTCTGAGCCCAGAGGTCAGCGAGCAGGGCAAAAAAAGAGCTTGTGTTTCCTGGCATCCGAGTACAGCTGGGAGGAGAACGTGTTTCTGACACCCAAAGACTGTGGGAAAGGCCAGGGACAGTGTGTTTCTGAGACCA